AATATTAATATTTTAGTCACAGTTGGAAACCCATTCGGCGGCCGGTCGGGGTTGCTAGGAGTATTATCAGGGAGGCCAGCAATAATCATGTGAAGACTTCCAATTGGACACGGATTATATATCATGATACATGTGAAAGGTCATTGCACCGCATAAATTATAGATCACAGAGCCCACGACACGATCAACTCACAGTTCGATGACCAGGAAGACCTGATCCTTGGTCTGGTAGGTGTCCAGGAGACGAACAATGTTGGGATGCACAAGCCTGTGGTGCGTAGCAGGGATACCGGTCATGGATGAATACTCCATTGAATGTAGGTTGGCAGTGATGAAAATGAGTGATGAATGAGTGCACGTGACAGTCTTCATCCCATAATGGTTATTAAAAGGTATTAAGCCTATTGAAGTTAGAAGAGAGTGAGCAATTATTTTGTGGAAATTATATTACTGGGATATTTGATGAATCAATTTGAAGAACAAGACTTGTTCGTCTCCTGCCTGAACAATACTTACTCGCACTAGTGAGGCAGGGCGAATCGCATTTAAATATGTATTTGATTAAAAGGTAAAGTTAAAAAGGTTAAAAGCGAATTCTTGGATTGATGTAGAATCTCTAAGCGGCTTTTTGAAGCGAAATTATCAACGGTATAAGTTCTCTTACGACTTTTCGCGGGGAAAAGACTTTCGCGTGCGGGGTCATAGGTGAAGTCATCACATGAAAAAGCAAAACTCAAGGCATGTGTTCTGAAAATAACTTGTTAATAAAAGACTATAACATGGAGATGGAATTCTATTTGTGAGTGTGATTAAATGAAAGGCGAAAAACATCATATCAGGAGTAAAAATACGAATTAGTAATCAAATATAAAAAATAACAAACTATAATATGAATAATATTTATAAGTAGCATAAAACCAAGATAATTGTCATAAAACCAATAACATTGCTAGAAATTACAAATATGAAAAGGAGACCGACGAAATAAAAGAGAATGGAAGGGGAAACTTAGAAAATTAATTTGGAATCCTGGATAAAACTTAATAAAAGGCTTGAAAGACAGGCCAGAGTGAAGGAAAAAATATCAATGGGTAGCTAATCACCTTTCCATGTACACAACTAAACGATGATCCAAATGTCGGTTTTCGCGCGAATTCTATTTTCGGGTTAACGACATCTCCGAACACGTGTTCTGGTCTATACGATGTCTTGCTAATCTGAAGGAGTGTCTTAAAAAAGTAGAGGTGGTGGTGAGAACAGCATTTGAGAAGTGGTGATTACAGGCAAATGACAATAATTAATCTCTCATTTTACCAGCAAGACACCCGGAAGCGTCCGAGGCTCAGAGAGTCGAGGAATTTCAAAGTGTGAGGGTAGGACTGGAAGGCGACCAGCTAGTGACAGGCCGAGAGGGGAGATTTGCGTTTACATCCACTCATTTGAATTGAGCAGAGGGACATTTATACTTGGTTGTCGGAATTTCCTTCAATCTTTTATTGTATTTTTGCAGCCGGTTTACAGATCTACTATAAATTATAGTTTATATTTGTATACAAATTTTCTCAACATTTGAAATCTGTTCGCAAAAGAGTCGTCATTTGAAAAGCAGTTGTCAGTAATTCTGATATGAAAATAAAATACCCGGAAACATTAGTGTGAAATTTTTATATCTAATTGTTAACAGAAACCCGAGTGGTACACATCGAGTGGGGGCACATATTGAGTGTACATATCGAGTGTATGAATAAATGAGTGGATTTTGACCGGGTGTACATGTGTACAAATGACCCAGCTATTACTATCCGTGCATATTGACGGCAACGGTTCCCAGCAAAGAACGGTCGCGGCCAATAGCTGAGGCATGAATCTTGAAGGTAACTCGAGGGCTCGGGTCGCCCCTCAGGAGTCCTTAACTTATTCATGGACTGAACTGGGGGCCTGGCCGCTGAAAATTGACGTAAATTTGTCTTAGCCGCGCCTCATTGAAGAGTAATGGGGAAATAAAGCGAAACCGACAGCCATGGATAAGTAGAAAATTTCATTTGCGTAGGGGATGGATAAGGCGGAAAAATTCTGTTTTCTCCGTTTCAGGAATTTGCATCCAGAAAACAGCGTATATATAATAACAAAAATTAATTACTCAACGGAATTTTGAAAGAAATCTACAATTTGTAAAGAATATCCTGGATTGATTCAGCGATAACAAATACACAGTAAAGATAGATGAAACGAAGAGCGGGAAGAAGCAAGCGACGGGTGAATGAAGATATAGAAAAAAAGTTTTTTCTAGCAATCAAGATAATAATAATAAATAAAATAGAGAAGAGAAATAAATGACGAATTAAGTATAAAATTCAACGTAATGAAGCTTTCCAAAGAAGATGGCGAAAAAGCTGGCGTGTGATAGAACTTTTGAAGAGCTTGGCATGAGGTAGAGGGACGACAGAGTGGGCATCAGACGATCGTTGAAGGAAGCTCTTGGTCTTCTTGAAGTTTGTAGCACAGTTATTCACACAGAAAAATGTTTCAGACATACTATTGTTAAGGGCGAAATGAACCACCGGAGAAAACTTCATTACCTTTAGACTACTTGATAAGTTTAAAAATAAAAATACAAATGTTTTGCCTTCTTAAAATATTCTGAAGACTAGTTTATTTTTTCCGTTCTTCTACACCTATCTCGGTTTTATGAATAAATAATATCGCTGGCATTTAAAACGTCTTCACTACAACCCTTGACATAGTAATTGACAAACAACCTTTAAATACTGCATCTATACAACTTTATAACATTTAGCTTTTGGAAGCAAAGGCGCAACGCGACACTGCCACATACAGTATTTGCATGAGCTATAACGCATTAACCTACATACACCATTTAGGCACTTTAGTTCATGCTGAAACTGCAGCGTATACAATGAAACATGAGTAATCGAACATCTCAATATAGTAAACAAATAAATTATTACTTTACATATCCTCCAAAATTAATGTCACGTTTTTAGGACATACAAGCAATTCTACATTACGGCAGTGAAGTCTACAACAAAATGAGCCATCCGGCCTTATACACAACCAAAGCCTATAGCACTGAACATAAAAGGAAGCCCAGCAATGGCAATCAAACTCAAGAGGAAAAAATTACGAACGGCAGCCAACGATCCCCGAGTGCAATTTTGAACAAGGAATTTTGAGGAGCGCGGAATTTTCCAGGAACCCTAGTTCAAAGGCTGCGGGAATCGACATAGGAACAAATGCGGGCTGATTTTAAATGCTGTCCAGAGTGAAAAATAGTACTTCGTTTCTTTTACTGATAATGGAAGAGCACAGTATGAAAAGGACTTCAAAATATCACGGATACTATAATTTTGTTTCTATATATAATTTCTGAATATGATTAGTTCTCGCTGCTTATGACAATTTACACTAGCTAATTCAGTTTCCGTAATAATATCCAGGTCCTACGGCACAATTTGTTCACAGTGTAGAGGGGCAACGACTATAAACATAATTCACAGGACAGTGGAACATTTAGCTATTAAATAACTCCGTAATAATATTACAAGATTTCCCTCAATCAAAAATATTATAAAACATATATCCTTGGTAAGTAAAGAAAAAATTTTCAATTGACGAAAATGCCTGTTCACGAGCTATTTTGGGCAAATTTCTTATTTTCACTAGAAGAATAACATACATCCATAAATCAATATTTATTGTAGCGCTTAGAATTTTGAAAATATATTTCAGCCCTTATGATCAGAGTTGCAGACAAACCTTGACTGAAACTGGCACAACAATCACGATGCAAAAAGTTCTAATTGAGTAACCCCTCGCTACCGCCGCCAATACAGACAAAACAGTAAACAATAAGACTACAAACATACTAAAGTTATAATGAATAACTAACTATAATCTTCACAGAAAGAATCCTAATTAAAGAAGTGCTTACATCTATAACAAACAGACTCAATAGTCAAGTCTATTAACAATAGATGTTTTAACAATACTTTTATTCTCACAATTGAACAACTTAGTGAGCCCCTTAGTAAGACACACATCAAATGATTGCTGGGGCCTCAGTAATTATTGTCACACAATAGAACAGCTGGGGCACAATTTCCTCATCACTTTTATCTAACAATAGCTAATGAATTCCTCAGCTTCCGCATATCTAATTGCGAAGACTAGAAGAGTAATGTAATATCATAAACATTCCCGGCGAAATTCAATTAATTGAAGGGGGATCGCAACGATAAACAGATAATTTTTACACTGAAATGTCAGTAATGACAATATTAGCAAAATAAAATTATTCATATCAACAATTTTACACTAATTGAACTTTCAAGATATTGTATGTAAAAGAAAATTTCAGTGCTCCTCCATATGGAGGACATGCATGCACCTTTAACTCTTTTATAATTGTTTTTCGTGATTTAAGATAGGCTGACAAAATGCGTTGGTAAACGAAGAACTGCCCTAAGAAATGCTAATTTTTTCAGAAACTTAGTGCCAATTGTAAGGAGTCGTTTACGAATCAGAATAATAGATAAATAAAGTAGAACAATCTCTGTAGTGAATTGCCGAACATGATTCGTGCCTGAATGACTCATGGGCGGGAGAGAAAACAATATTTGTTTGTTCGTACACAACTATTTCGTGTTAAAATCTACTTAGGTGATTTCGATTAGAGATACAATCTAATGTCACATTAAACTAAAACTTATAATATTGATTCAAAAAATTTCGGATCAAAATTAATGAATAAAAAGATCAACGTATGAATCAGGGTAAACCATCTGGAGATGTTAGAGAAGAGATTATAATAGATTTTTCACGCTGATCAACGGAAAAATGCAATTTGTACAACTCATCATTGTAGATAACCACAAATATACTCATTAAATAAAAACATAACGGTCAAGATTCTGATATAAAAGAAGAGAAGGGTGAGTGTATGATGAGTTGGGTACATGAAATGAGTACGACAGCCTGACCTCCTGAGCACGGTGATCTCGTTGTCTAGCGAGTCCTCCTTCCCCTTGAGCGCCTTCTTGTCGATGATTTTAATAGCGCACATACGGGACGGGTCGTCACGCACCTCAGCCAGCCGCACCTGCGAGAACGCCCCTCTGCGCATAGACATACAAATTATGTTACTTTGCTATCTCGTATTGATAGAAATACTGTAACATATATATAATGTTATAAATATAAATGTATAATATTCGACATAGGTTAATTAATGACTAATGAAAAGTAGAGTGCAATACCAAGATGAGTAAAGTTCTGCACTTAATAATCGTGAATATCTTGCCTGGATGTTATAAATTGTTATTTTTCGACACTTCAAAAGTGTGTAAAGGTTGATTCGCTGGCATCAATGAAGACATTTTGAATAATCTAAGCCAGAAAAAGTAGCACGGTTAACCAGTTTTTAGGAAGTAATAACCAGTTGAGTATAGGAATCCAATTCGACTTTTTAAGGTCCAGTCAACCCCAAAATTTTCAATTGTTAGCTAGTACAAAGAGAGGAAGATAACGTTTAAAAATGACCTTGAATGATTTATTCATATTAAAGCCGAGTATACCAACCAAACCGAAATAAACGTATGCTCCTACAAATTGTGAAGACGTTGAATAGAAAGAAATCTTCCACTTGCAGGCATGAAATGAGAGACACTACAATCCATGTTCATCAAATAATCGTAGTCATTTAATGTGAGTTTGTATTCAAATTATCAGGACTTAAAATAAGCCTTTGAAAAAGAAAAGGAACAAAGATCAAGATTTGGCAAGTAATACAAAAATTATGAAGAAAAACAACCCAACATGTGATGCACCATGTTAAGGAAAAGACATGATGCACTCAGAATTAATTGGCATAAATTTTTGTTGTCACAAAATGTCATCAACTCTAAAAGCTATAAAATATTTTGTGCTGAAATTTCCGTGATGTAGCCCGATATGGCGAGATCCCTTGACATGAGAAGTGAGCAGAATTCGTTTTTTTTTTTCAGTCCAAAATGTATTATTTAACAGAAAAGTAGCCAGCAATCGAAATGACCATTACCATCAATAAAATTTTAATAATTGTTTTTCATACCGTTTATACGTGACTATAACACCTACACTGTATGAGTTGATATATTTAAGAGATAATGATTTCTGTTTAAAAAAACCCAAATTGCCTATATTTAAGCAATTTAACACGCCAAAGGAGGTCGCATATGACCAGTAAATGTCAATTCGTCAAATCCAATATAAAGTTGAAAACTTTCTAAGGAATAGCCCAAGCGAAAAAACATCCTTTGTGCAGGCCTAAATTGAAGAGGCCTTGGCGTCGGCGACGTACAATAAAACGGGATTGGGTGAAGAACTTTAATGTGGCAGCGACGAGCAGCGGCGCCACGTCACAAATAAATTTACTTTTATAATCAATATTAAACCTCTACCGCGTGACATTGTAGTAAACGAAGCAATGTTGTCACCAGCCTACATACCTCCCAAAAATGATGCGTTCTAGTGAGCGCAAAATGACGTGCACTGATGGTTGCTGTCACGTACGACAACTTTAAAAAGTTCTCTGTTGCGTACAAACGTCCTCAGGTTGCTACACTCAATAGTTTACGTATAATTCAAGTTGAAAGTTATGTTCCCGGAGAGTGACCTACGGCGGTAGAGGGTTAATCGGACTGATAAATTATACGAGTTTAAAAGAAACGTCTTGAAAAAGGAAAAGTATTAGAATGGAAAAAAATAGAATACGTTTTTGGCAATTTCTCACGGCTGAGCAAGTTTATTCACGAAATGATTACTTAACGTAGCTATATTCGAAGTCATTATACGAGTCGAAGATAAAAATAAACAAAAAACTGACATTGGAAGTTGGAAAAAACTGTGCACTGCAGCATGAAGACGATACAGTGTGAACTGCAATACAGTATGTACAGACGATATACAGTATGTACTGCAACAACTGCTGGTAGTGCAGGAAGACATATACCGTAATGGAACACCATGCACTGCTGGCAAGGCTAGTCATGAGCTCTAGTAAGAAGTAGACTGGCACAACGATCATGCATGCTAGTTTCATCAACGCTCTTTCATAAAGGAGACGGCTATCTCTTCAATTAGGTATTTTCTAATTAAACATTAAAATTACTTTGGAGCTAGAGTATCATAACGCACGTAAAGAAATATTTTATAAAAACTACGGCCTCAAATAATGTATCGCATTCAATTCTCAAAGATCATACATCAGTTTTAGTACAGACATTTAAAAACTAGAAATCAATCTATAATTCTACCAAAGTTATATGAACAAACCAACTGAGAGATATTTGAGGTCCTATAGTCTGCAGATAAATAATGAGCTCAACGTTAAGCACTGAGTTGAAAAAGCGAGCTGCATTGCTGACGGAAAGTAAAATGCGTTGCATGAGCAACTGCAATTATCCCTGCGAGAATTTCCAATTAGCAAATACTCCTGGCAGAGAGAGCATCAATAATGCCTGGTTCGGTATCTATGATCTAAGTTTGTTGCTGTGCAACATACTTGTTCAATTCTGTTCCAATATTGGCTAGGAAGTTCTTTTTTAATATTTTATTCCGTCTAAAATATACAAACGCTTACTCTGTCTACATATAGTTACGAGACCTTATGATACGAATAGCATTAGCAAGGGGCCAGGCCTCTGTATCAACGATACAAGAGGTGTACATGGATCGGAGTTGCAGAACAAGTGGAATGATAACATAGGGCATGAGCTGACTTGATGAGCATGCAGCCACACTTATTTTAGTATCAGATGGCAGAATAAGCTTGTTTAAACACGGGTGGTTAATGACCACAGAATTCAATGATTTAGATTTTCAGGATCGAACAATATTCTTCAGATGACGGTTGATCAAAACGCAGGTTCGAGGAAGTTATTTTATTTTATTAACGACGTTTCAAATGTGTAACATTCATTTTCAAATTCCAGAAAACATTGAATAACGTAATTTTGATGGAAATCATGTTCTTATTCCAACGAAATTTTTGTATTCAATGCTTCCTATAATTTTCTAGTGTGTATATAGATCGAACTAAGATCGTAGGTATATGCTTTTAAGATGCAGTTATCAGTAACTGCGTCGTAATACAACGCAGTTAAATGATAAAGTGAAATTCGATCTTAGAATTTCGCTGAGCCCGAATATTTATTAATAAAGCAAGAATAATGAGACGTAACCTCACTTTCCTCACTCAAGTGCAAAGAGTTAAATCCAAAATCGAAACTTGCTATTTATTAAATCTATTCGTAAATTTAATTTGAACGACAAAAAAAGTTCTGTCAATATTTTCAAACGAGAGCCAATGAGAGTTCCAGGTGAAATGTGAAATTGCACAGGTATTCCTCCTATTAGTATAATTAGTTTTGTTGTTAAAGAGATTCGAGATAATGGGATGGTGAAATAGAAGGGATTGTCGATCATCGCAATATGTATTTAATAATTAGTAGTATTTAATAAGTAATTAACTACAAAAACGTAATCTCTAGCAAGTTCGGTGAAACATGCGAGTGGTTCTCTGATTGTCATCAGTTCTCTTTACATATCGGAAAGCAGTTCTATACAACAGGTGCATACTAAACGCAATTAAAGGATCAAATATTTATAAAGATTGGAGCTGCGGGGTATCGATCCCCGTACTTCTCGCATGCTAAGCGAGCGCTCTACCATTTGAGCTACAGCCCCTCACATTTATTGCTGCTGCCCCAGATAGAACAAATATTTAGGCCCAGAAGAATATTTGCCCCAGATAGAACAAATATTTAGGCCCAGAAGAATATTTGCCCCAGATAGAACAAATATTTAGGCCCAGAAGAATATAAGTCAGGATGTTAATTTAAGGCTATCTATTTTACAATTATGTGAATACTATAAATTATAGTTCGAAACCGTATCCACGATACTTATCGTATCCGAAAACTGCCCGGGAAAACGATTTTATATTCAACGTTGGAATCATGAGACATTGAAATTCTCGGCCTAACCGGGGGGAAGGGAAGTAGGAGTACGAAATTGAAATGAGATTATCCTCTTTATCAAAACAGGACCTAAATGCATTTTTAATGCTGATTGTTGGAATGACCAGGCTTTTTTTTACCGAATTTTCTCGTTTATGAAATAAAAGGTGCTGTATTGTGCTCGTCATGTCCGTCCGTGACGGCGTCATGTCCGTCCGTCCGTGACTTCACGGACGAACGGACGAGAAAATGCGCTTTCTGTCACTCACTGCAGTGCGTACTGATCTAATTTTTTATTCAGCAATTGATCCCAATGTACTGTAATAATTAGTAACGAGAGGGAAGCTTGACTTGGAAACGGGTACGGTATCTCAAATCACGTGGAGCAACGAGTGTTAAGCAACGTAGTGTTGACGAGTAATCCGAGCAACGTCGTGTTAAGCTGCTCGTCTTTTATCAACTTTAATGTGCCTAAAAGTATCATGAGGTCGGAAAACTAACCGGTAATTATTATTCACGGAAAAGCACTACGTACCCGTCCGGAAGACGCGCCTTCATGCGCGCTAATTTATTGCCCTAAATAAATAAATTAATCCTAAATTAACCCCTAAATAAATTATAATTAAAAAAATTTGAAGAAGGATGAAATTGTTTGATCTACCAGGGAAACTTTCCCGGAAAATGTACTAACTTTTAAGCAAGGCCTTGACCGACTAGCCGGCCTTCACAACCACACTGATGAGATCCCACCAATACATTCAATATAATAATTGCGTTAAATTGTGAATCTATCATATGACCATAAGTTCAAATTAGAACCGAGTAAATCAAGTGACAGGGTAAATAAGTTAAGATTGCAATAGATTAACTTAATTCTATGGAGTAAACGTTTTTACTACAATCAGGTAGCGTAACCGTGGCCGAGCGCTTCAAGGCACTGATATAGATAAGATTAGATAGGGTAACATGGGGCAGCGAGCCCACTGCGGGTCACGGGCCCATAGCGGGTTTCTCGCTAAGTATGGCAGATATTGATCCGTGTTCTCTACCGCCGGTCGACAGTTTCACTGGGATGAAGTGTACGGATTTACGTTTTGCTAAGTGTTTGCGTTATTAAG